GGTACCGTTGAGTCGGCCAGGGTCGAAAATGGGGGGGTAGGCGGAGTCTGGAGCCTGTAGGACCAACCGGAAGTGCCTGCCCCACTTCCGGTTTTGGGCTAGGAAGGTCCAAAGTGCCTCGAGTCACGTGTCTATGAACTCGGCATGGCCACAAATGGGGGGGTAGGCGGAGTTTCGAGACCACGCCCCCTTCCCCTGGCCACGCCCACCACTTATGACAATTAGACAGTGAAAATGCTAAGTGTGGGGGACTTAAAGGGGGCGTGTCTTGGGGGGCGGTGCCAATTGACTGGGCGGGGTCGATAATGGGGGGTAGGCGGGGTCTCCAGGCCACGCCCCCCTTCTACAGGAAGTTGACCCAACTCCGGCTAGGAAGGTCGTAGAGACTCGGGGGTGGTACCGTTGGATCGGGCGTGGCCACAAATGGGGGGGGGTAGCCGCGACCCCTGAGCTATGCCCCCACTTCCCTGGCCGTGAGAGACGTTTGATTGTTTTTACCCATGATGCATTGGGGCAAACTTTGGGCAACTTTACCACAGCCTCCAGCCGGGCCACATGAAGCCCTGTGAAGTGGAATGGGGTCTCTAGCTGGTCCTCAAAAAGTTTGCCCCCATATTTTAAAGTGGTACTTACCCCTTATTCCCCTAACCCTAACCCTAACTCTAAACATAGTCCTAACCCTAAAACTTAATCCTGACCCTAAAACTTAATCCTGACCCTAAACATAACCCAACCCAAACCCCTAACCATAACCCCAAACCCTACCATTTAGGAGAACAAACAAGCGCCTTATCATAAACCCTGACCCTTAAGGATATTAACCCTACCCCTATGCCTGAAGGGCACACAGGAACACCTGACCTGGCTCATTGACTCTTAAAAAGGGGGATGGACCAACACCAGTTAGGAACTCCTCAGTGGCATACGGTAGCCCAAGCATTGGTGACATGAAAAAATGAACAAAGTAGATCAACCCTGGAACACGGTCCTGTACAATACTACAGCAGAAATTGAGAAATAAAATGGCCAATAAGACCAATTTGGGTCACAACTCTTGAAACAAGTTGGGAGTCAATAAGGAGACAAGAGCTGCGGATGACGTGCGTCGGCCCGTGCATTGCCTTTGGCTCCCTAGTTCAACTGCTGAGTCGTTGGATGAGGCAGGGGGAGTCGACGAGATAAATAATTTACACCTAACCCTTTCAACAAAACATTTTACATGAATAAGTCCAAACCTAACTTGAGTATTAACGAAACCAAAGCACTTAAGGAATTAACAGGCAACAAGAACATTATCATCAAGCCGGCTGATAAGGGGAGCTCTATTGTCATCATGGACAGGGCACAATATCTCTGGGAAGGTAAAAGACAACTGCTAGACACCACCTATTACAATAGACTAGACAAACCCATTTATCCGGAGACCATCCCCATGGTGACTAAAATCATTGACTCTTTGTATGAGAAAAGGTTTATTAATGCAAAACAGCGCAGATATCTTAAAGGTTCTTCGGAACCAAGAGCCAGAAGGTTCTATTTGTTACCAAAGATCCACAAGGATCCAGCAAAATGGAGTAAACCCCATGAGATCCCACCGGGTAGACCCATCGTGTCTGACTGTAACAGTGAAACACATCAAACAGCAGAATTCATCGATCACTATTTAAATCCCCTATCAATAACACATGACAGTTACATCAAGGACACGTATGACTTTATAAACAAGATCAAACAAATCATCCTGCCAGACAACTCCATTCTGTTCACCATGGATATAGACAGCTTATATACAAATATTGACATAACCGAAGGCATTAATGCAGTCAAACAAATTCTCCTTCAACACCCCAACAGCAGAAGGCCAGACAAGGAGCTACTCCAGCTATTACAAATTAATCTGAGAAGGAATGATTTTGAATTTGATGGCCAATTCTACCTGCAAATTAAGGGAACAGCTATGGGGAAGAAATTTGCTCCAGCATATGCAAATATCTTCATGGCACAATGGGAGACGGAGGCATTAAACAAATGTGTAAAGAAACCACTTTATTATTACAGATATCTAGATGACATCTGGGGGGTCTGGACTCACTCGGAGGAAGATTTTCAGCTATTTCTAAACACGCTAAACACACATAACCCATCCATAAAGCTGAAATCATCCACTAATGCTAAATCAGTCGATTTTTTAGACACCACAACCTTTAAAGGCACAAATTTCAGCTCCACACACAAACTTGACATAAAGGTTTATTTTAAACCTACGGACACACACGCATTGCTTTTTAAAACCAGTTACCATCCAAAGCACACATATGCGGGTCTTATTAAATCCCAGCTACTTCGCTTCCACAGAATCTGCACTCAGGAAAGCGACTTCAAGGAAGCCACCCGGATACTGTTTTCAGCACTATCCTTAAGAGGATATTCTAGAGCATTTCTGAAAACATGTAAAGCTTCCTTCCTGGAGTCCAGACCCAAGGACACATCACCATTATTGCCTTTGGTCACCACTTATTCTCCCTCGGCAGGAAAACTAATTCATAAAATCAAACAAAACTTTTCTAAATTCCAATCAGAGACTAACTTACTGCAAAATCACAGGGTAATTGCGGCCTACAGACGGAACCAAAACCTAAAAGATTTTCTGGTTCAGGCCAAGCTGAGACCCCTACAACAACCTAAGGTCAAAGGTCAAAGTGATTTTTTTAACCAACTGCACTGGATACAAAATAGGTTTAACAAAACCATTTACCCCATCACACAAGCAGGTAACCCTACAACCAAAAACTGTGTGTATTTAATTCAGTGCAAAATCTGTAAAATGAGATATGTGGGAGAAACAGGAAATAGCATTTTAACACGCTTCACACAACATAGACACAACATTATAAAAAACCATAACACACAGCGACCAGTAGTCAAACACTTTATTGAACATGGCTGGCAAGCCCTCACAGCCACGATCCTACAGTCAGATCCAAACTGGTCCACAAACAACGGAAAAGAGCTGAAAGGCTCTGGATCTACAGATTGGACACACTTGTTCCCACAGGTTTGAATGAGGGATAGATCTGCACCGGTGGACTAAGTGCAGGAGAGTCTGTGCACAAAGCCCCAGTCGCTGGGACTTTCTTTTCTTTAACCCCTAACCCTTTATACTCTCTCTCTCTCTTTCTCGCTCTCTTTCTCAACAGGCTGACCTTGACCCTGTTTAGGGGTGTTGGTCTCCCCCCTCCCCCCCTTTCCTATCCCACCCTGACCCCCGCCCGGAGGGACCCACTTGGTACTTGTTTTTAATTTTGAGGAGCTGCAACCCAGTCGGTGTATTGGACAGGTCTTACCACTCCATTACATTGTACATATATACGTGGTTCTATGTTGCTCACCTGTGAAACCCGAGGCATAGATCTTGGGGGAGGCTGAACATCAGTATCCGGGGGACCCAGAATGGACAGAGCCTCAAGAGACCACCGCCGCTCTTTTAATATAGTTTCTCCTAACCTGCGCGTGCCTCTGGTGTGGACCCGACTGGTGGGAGGCCACCCCAATAGGACGAAGCTAAGGGCCAGAAAGAGTCCAAAATTGAATACTGTTTTTAACCTGAAAAGAAGGTTATCATGAGTGAGTAACTTACCTGTGGAGACCATGATGCATCCCAAACAAAGGGTTAACTAGAATTAGAAGAAAGGACAGAATTAGTGTTAATTAGAACAACAACATAACAACAAAAACAAATTAAAGTTATAGAAAGTCAACAAATTACTCTAAAAATTACTTCTACACAAGGAGAAAGAACACTCCTAAACAAGTTATATAATCAATAAATAGTAAAAATTTACTTACCTGTAAAGAAAACCTGCAAAAAAGAAAACAAAGTAAACAAAGAATAATAAATTATGGATAAAACAACAAAAGAAATGAAGAGGAAAAACAAATGCACATGGTCAAGCTGAAAGGATGAACATGAACGTACTTCCTGTTGAACCGGAAATACCGGATCTGCAATTTATTTTGAAAGACTGCTTTATTTGTGATGACTTGCATATATAGACTTGCTGGTTACAACTCCTAGCACTTGTTTGTATATTGAATTGTTTTGGGACTGATGTTTTTATGGACTTTTGGACAGTTTAATTCATGTTCCGTGTGAATTCACACTTCTCCGGTGCGCCTGAACGCAGCATCGGGAGGCATCAATAGAGACGCTGGACAAGAAGGTGAGAGAGACCTCGGGCGCTCTGATTGGCTGCTGTGACGTAAAACTGCGCACCTTCCCGTTGCTAACAGCTAACGAGCTGAGCACGCACGAGGGCTACTCAACGACAACCTACCTGAAGAAGGTCCACAACGACTGAAACGTCATGTGTTTTGTCGTGTTATTTAAAGGAAAATATGTTTATTAAAGGGGCCGTTTATGCCCGAGTGAAAAAACTCACCTTTCCTTTTTTATAAGTGTGTTACACGGAACCGAGTTGTTTTAACGTTTTTTAGAGGCAAAATATGCCTCCACACAACTACTATGAGGAAGAAGACGAAGGAAGCTGGACCACAGTGCATTATGGTCGCCACCAGAGAAACCGCTGGAAAGGACCAGCGGAGCGAGGGCCGCGCCGGCGGCAGACACCCGCGGCAGCCGACCGAGGTGGAAGACCCAGAATATCCCAGACGGCGCTCATATGCCTCTGTCATTAGGGAAGGCCGGGCCGAGAACCGAGAGGAACGCTTTGAGGGCCAACGCCGTACCCGCCGACCGACCTCGCACTACCGGAGAGCGCGCAGACCAGAATGGAGAGATGAAGACGGAGCTCCACCATTTTGGGGCAGAGCCTACAGGACCAGCAGAGCGGGTTAACAGAGGCGGCCCATTTGGGGCAAAAACAGCAGAAGACCACAGGTTGGACATGACTATGAGAGCCCAATCCGCCCTAAATCCTCCAGATCCCAACAAAATATCAGATTGTCCTCGGACCCGGACTTTAAAATGAAGGTTTGCATCTAGGGTTGTCACGGTAACCGGTATAGCGGTAAAACCCGGTAAAAAAGTTGACAATAAAAATAACCGTCCAGTTTTTAAAAAACTATATTATCTCGGTGGGTTTACCGTGGCCGCGGTTTCAGCGCGGTGACCCTTACCAGCCACCGTCGCTTCAGCTGAAGTTCTCGCGGCGTGCACACGCACTTTTTAGTTTGCAACGGCACCAAAACTTTGAAGCTGAAATAATGGCCGAAGGAGGAGACGGCAGCGCCCAGGACATCCATCAGCCCTCAAAGAAGACTAAATCGGAAGCATGGGCATATTTGGGATTTCTGAAAAATGCTGAGGGACAGTTAATAGAAGACGGCTATCCCGTTTGCAGAACGTGCAGGAAACAAGTGTCTGCAGAAGGTAACACTTCGAATCTAATGGCACATCTGTGTGACGATCACCCACGTCTCTACAGCCAGTGCAAGGTAAGTTAACATTAGCATTTTAGCTGAAATGCATGACGCGAGGACTTTTGGTTGAGGGAGAATGCAACGAGTCAATATATCCTGCAGCCGCAGCGTCCTCTGCCAGCATTTAAACCGTGTCACGGACACCCTGTTGCTGGATGAAGCATCTTATTTGTTGATGATGAAGAGAAATATACAATTAGTTCCTTGTCATTGATTTGTTTACTTATTCAATGCCATTTATACTTGAACATTTGGATTTGATTACATAGTGTAGTAGTTATTTTAGTCATTTGTTTAAAGTGGCTATTTATTTTAAATACATATTTTTTAAGGTTGACTTGTACAGTGCTCAAGTCAAGTGTGGACTGGAGTTTTAGATTTTCATTTTGATAATGAAGAAAACAAGTATATGAGAAAACAAGTGGTGTTTCTTTGATTTGTTTACATATTGTTTATGTTTTGAATGTTTGGATTTGTATCATTTAAACCTGCACTGACTACTGTAACATGTTCCAGAAAAAGAAGCTATTTGTTCCTTTACTTGTGAAAAGTTGCACTTTTGCTAAGGCTTTGTGTTATTTTAGGTTTAATAAACACTGTTAAACCTTTTCAGAACTATTTCAGTTTGTGTAGAACAGGACTATCAATGCTTTCTGAACATATGCAACACCGTTTAAAAAATACCGCGATAATACCGAAAACCGTGATAATTTTGGTCACAATAACCGTGAGGTTAAATTTTCATACCGTGACAACCCTATTTGCATCATTCATAATGTCATTAAAGCGACTGACCACTTGAGTAAAATCACAGGGGGTGAATATCCCCCTTCACTACAGAGGAAAATTAACAGTCTCATAACTTCCATTAAGCCCGCAAATCCCACAGCCAAAACCAAAAACCTGATTAGTGGGAACACTAAAAACTGGGCTTATAATATGGTTTTGATTTTAAAAGATCACTACACAGAGACCATGGAGAATGAGGTGTTAACACTGACTGGTTACCCTGAGCCAGATTGGCTATCACCATTTCAGGTGGCGGCTAAATGGGCCAGGAGGAACCTGGGCAGAAGACTCACCAGAGACACCTTGGAACAAGCACAGGCCTTCATGGTGGCCAGATTGGAGGGGCCAACAGACCACGGCAGTCCCCCACTGAATACACCAACCACAGAAGTTGAGGTGAGACGAGCTGCTACCCCTCAGCCAGACTTGAACCACTAGCTGAGCCCGGTTTTGCCAATTACACGGACCCAAGCATTCCCAGTCTGGTGTTTGCCACCGGGGCAGGTCCACCCAGGGGGGAGACCACAGGAAGAGAGGGAGGTGCTTTTCGGCCTCACACAGGAGCACTCCACCCAGACAGCCCAGCAGCCCACAGCAGATGAGGACCTGTCTGAATCAGAGGATGACAGCCCACCTGAAAGCTACCGGAGAGATGTCTCCACCAGCCCAGATCCATCCCCCTCTCCATAGTCACCTTTGACCTTGCTCACTAGGATCATAGAGAAGGACATAAAGCTCCCACAAAGCTCACCGGCGGAGATGACAGCACCCCTTCCATCCAGGACCGTGAGGAGGAGAGCCCGGTCACAGCCGAACCAAAGGTCAACACAAGGTGACCAACCCAAACTGCAGCACCAAGAAACGACTCCCGAGAGGCGGATGAGGGACATCGAGAACCAAGAGAACAACCTGAGAGAGGAACAAGCAGGTGACCCAGAGATCAAAGCCCCAGCTGCAGGCCAGTCCACTCATCCAAAGAAACCATCCATATGTGCACCCACACCACACCCGGGCAACAATAAGAAGAACTGGTCCCTGCATGTGACAGAGCCCAACCTGATTATGGGTGACTCCAACTTAGCCAGAATGAATGCCATCTATCGAGGGGCTGCAAATTGACAGCTTTTCAGGAGCAGGATGGCGACATGCTAAAGACATCCTTCAGAAGGTCACCACAGAGGTCAAGGTACAAAATGTAATTCTCTCATTTGGGATCAATGACAGGTCCCAAGGTAAAAAGAATAAAGGGTTATTTGATCATGTGGAGCAGGCTCTGGCAGCAGCCCACACTAAATTCCCAGAGGCCCGGATCATCGTACCACAGGTGAACTTCTCACCAGACTTGTCAGCAGGTGAAAAAGATGTTCTAAGGTGTTTGAATGACAAAATCTGCAAACTGAGTCATTACATCCCTGCTGGGGACATACAGGTGGTCATAGACAATGACAGAGATAAGGTCCATTGGTCTGCACTTACGGCTAACAGAATCCTGGAAAGTTGGTTACAATACCTAAACTAAATGTCCCCGTAAGCCCAATTAGGGGAGGGGCTACTAAAGGAATGGTTAACTTAACAAAAAGATTTGTTTTAACTGAGGCACAGCTTCCTCTGCTAAGCAAAGGAATAAATTTCATCCCAACCCAAAATTAACTAAAACATCTGGTTTTAATGTAAATATGACTTACAGAATTACCACAGGAGGATCAAATTAGCCCTGTACTATAAGAACAAACCCAATCTGAAAAGCCAAAAAAAGCCATTTACAATTAAATTTAAATGGACACCAGCAATGGGGCTACTCCCACCCGAAACTGCTAACCTAATAAGCTCGGACACTGACAGACTTAAAAAAGTGGCATATAGGCCACCCTACACCAACAATCTAAATTTGGAGGTGTAACGTGAGGAAATACGGGTTTTCTATCACAAAGGTGGTGCTGGACGCAGCTAGGTCAAAGCTGGGTCATTGAGAACTTTCACCCACAGATTAAGTCCTGAACGCCAGTGAGTCTGGGAGGAAACCATAACATCTGCCACCTGCAGTCTACCAGAAGATGTGTTTACATGAGTTGTACCCAGACCAAGTCAAAACATAAAGTTTAAACTTCTTTTTCTTGATTTTAATGTTAAAATAACCATTATCATTTTGCTCATTATAAATGTGTTTAATCAAATGAATGACTATTATGCTTTGGGGTAATTATAATGGATTAATGAATCCACACTTAAGTAGTTAATGTTGAATGTTTGGTACTGACCTTCACACTCAAGCACACAAACATTCACACACACCCACACACACCTTCCCACAGTAAACTCCAGACACATTTGATGACGCACAGGTTTGCTTTGAGAAGAGAAAGGTTTTTGGTAAGTTTGAGTCTTATGTTTTCAGTTCGTGTTGGACAACGAAGAGTGTGGACCTGAAAACCGAAAGGGGGGCAGAGCCGGCTGGCTCGTTTCTCCCCCCCCTTTCACGCTGTTTCTGCCAAGCCAGGCAGAATAGCTGAATCGCAACTTCTAACGCAGACTCACTACCGAGTCTTTTGATTTCTGAGTGAATTAACTTAAGAAAGCGCGTCGACAAAACGCTTTACCATCAACGTGTACCGAGGACAACTCTGGACCGGTTCGCAGCGCATCTTTGTCTTCTTTGCCAGCCAAGGTGCCCTGGATGAAACATCCTAAGGTGACGTCCCGGGTCCAACAGAGGGTCCGATTTTCGGTGAGGCAAAACACGACAGATAGCGTTTTGATGCATCTTTTCCACTAAACCTAAGTTTATTCAAACCATCACTTTTCACTCAGACACCTTTTTCTTCCTGAAGCAAAATCAGATGCACACACACATCCATCTCATCTCATATCACCAGCACAATTCACAACATTCTCAATCTTCATAAATTCATCAGAAGGTCTATTTGAGCCAGAACAGCATATCAACTGTTAAAAAGATTGTCCCACAAAGTTACCAATGTTGATTGTATTTCCTGTTTGTCAATTTCAAAATCATTAGTTTAATTTGATGAATTAAAACTTTTAATTGTGAAACTGGTTTCCTCATTGAACTGAAACACAGACACTCAGATTTTATCGTCAGTTTATCGATGAAAACAACCTTTGAGTCTTCTGAACAATATAAAATTTGGTTATTGATTTATTAAAATTAATATTCCGAATTAATATGTAGCATGGTTTCTCTTTCATAAAAGAGCATAAATCCATAACGCTACAGAGGAAAGAAAGGCCATTAAAGAGCTAGCTGACAACTCGGATATAGTAATAAAACCGGCAGATAAAGGGAGCACCATAGTAATTATGGATAAAAGTCAATATTTAAAAGAAGGATACAGGCAATTAAGGGTTGAAGTTTATTATTCTAAACTTACCAAACCAATCTACCCATAAACCAGACCGATGGAAAGCCATATTGTCATTAAATTAAAGGAAAAGAGGTTTATTGATGCAAAGCAACATACTTACTTGCTGGGCTCCTCCCAACCGAGGGAAAGGTTGTTCTACATGCTGCCAAAGATCCATAAAGATCCATCTAAATGGAGCACACCATATAAGATCCCTGCAGGGAGACCGATTGTGTCAGACTGTGACAGTGAAACTTATTACACAGCTGAATTCATTGATTTTTACCTCAATCCTTTGTCCACGAGACATGAGACATATATCAAAGACACTTATGACTTTGTTGCAAAAGTTAAAAACTTAAAAATACCAGAGGGGGCTATCCTGTTTAATGGAGAGTACTTTCTACAGATTTTTTGCGATGGGCAAAAAATTTGCCCCAGCTTATGCCAATATATTCATGGCGGAGTGGGAAACAACTGCATTACTGAAATGTGACAAGAAACCTTCAGTGTTTTACAGGTTTTTGGATGATGTCTGGGGTGTATGGCCGCATGGGGAACAAGAGTTTGAACATTTCCTGACAACTCTGAACAGCCACAATCAGTCAATTAAACTGATGCCACAAGCCCTGATTCTGTAGATTTTCTAGACACAACCACATTTAAAGGGAAAGAATTCAGTTCCTCCCACACATTGGATGTTAGTCTTTTTTAAACCTAACGATACTCATGCTTTGCTCCATAAAACGAGCTTCCATCCGAAACACACGTTTGCTGGGATAATCAAGTCACAGCTGCTGAGATTTCACAGAATTTGCACACAACAGAGTGACTTTGAGGCAAAGAAAATACTCTTCACTGCTTTGTCCACTAGGGGGTACTGTCGCACCTTTTTAAGAAAGTTTCAAAGAACTTTTTTGGAGAAAACGCCCATTAATGTGTCACCACAATTACCCCTGGTGATCCCATATGCACCACAAATGTTTTGCTGCATCAGAGGAATTAAGAGAAATTTTCAGACTCTTGTTCAAACAACAAAGATGCTCACAGACCATGAAGTGCTCGCTGCCTACAGAAGGAATAAAAACCTGAAAGATTATTTAGTGAAAGCTAAACTAAAACCTACAACCAGAACCAAATCTAGGGATTTGGGGGAATTTTTTTAAGCACAAGCAATGGATCTACAACACGTTTTCTGACACGGTTTATCTAACACTGGTGAAAGGCACCGCCCGCACTTCTAACTGTGTGTATTTAATATCATGCACTATTTGTGGAAAAATGTATGTGGGGGAGACCAAAAATACACTCCTGGTAAGGTTCACACAGCATAGACATAACATCCTGAAAGGAAAGGAGACAAGGACCCATCTAGTTCAGCATTTTATTGCAAATGGGTGGACATCAGTCACGGCCACAGTGCTCGAGTTAAACCCAGACTGGACTGCACAGCAGCAGAAGCGGGCTGAGAAACTACGTGGATGACAGGCCAAAACGTAGAAAATATCTACATTTTGGCAGATCCCCGGCTACGTGTGGACAGGGCAGTCCTTTAAATTGCATAGAAAAGTCCTTTATTTTGTAAGGCAACATCAGAATGACTTGATATTGATAAAGTATCACTGTGGGGTTGTACACTGTTGATCTAAAGTGGAATTACCCTGTGGAAACAGCAATTTTCAATTTTAGAGCATTTTGAAATCGTTAAAAGTCGGTCAAATATGGGCATTTCAAATTGCTGTGGTTTGATAGTGTTGATACAAAATGCAACTACTCTTTGGAAATATGACTTTTGCTTTTAAGAGCATTCTGAAGTCATTGAAAGAGTAGTTCAAAAATGAAAATTCACAGGGCTTTTACTTTGAAATCCAAAATAAGATTGCCTTGATATTGACAGGGCGCTAAAAGTGAGTAAGCCTAAATAATTTGTTATTATGTTCTTAAAATATCTGATAATTCACTCGAAGTTGAATTTTATTTTGAAATCCGGTTTCCCCCACATTCATTCCCGTAATAACTTGAATAGACGGGGAACAGAAAAACTGGAGGCTGGTTTGACACGTTTTTTTGTTGCTGTTGCTCCGTGTCCAGCGTGAGAAACATTACAGAACCTTTAAACTCATGGCTGCGTCTAACTACTCCTTGAAGGTGAACCGAGACCTTCTGGACCCGAACTTCGAGAGTTATAAGCTGTCTCTGGATCCGTTACCGACGTATAAGGTCGAGCTGGATGCAGGTGAGAAACGTAGTTAGCCGCCGTGTGGTTAGCATTGTGCTAACGGAACGTTTCTAAACGAGTTCAAAGTATGAGGCGCGTTGTAAACAAATCAAGTATTGTTCATTCCAGACTTAGTCCAATTCACAGAAGTAGAAAAACATCGTACAGATAAGATAACATGAAATGAGCACAAGGACACGTTAAAGGCAGCACCAGAGACAAACATGAAAACAGAAACGAGACAATAACAGTGGTGTGAAAATAAAGCATCAATTATTGTAACTCCTTAATCTAACTGAGAAAACGATAGTATTTCCACATCTTTAACAGGTACTGGTTACATTTAGAACAATCACATTTTAACAATTGTTCAGCCTACAAATAAATGTATAAACATTAAACATTCTTCAGAAAGCTTGTAGGGTGTCCTCCCCTCATGCACTCGTCCATCATTATAGGCAACCTGCAGCCTAGCATACTACATGCGTTATATGCATGTTATAACATGTTATAGTTAGTCATAGGTGGGCTGTGCACAGCGGTGTGCAACAAGCCTTAAACAAGGTGATCTTTACTTTATCAGAACAAGACCCAAACGTACTAGCGAGTGTTATTACCTGAGCGTATAACATACGGTACTGCCTATACACGTCACCATCCTCTCTCATGTCCTTTGTGATGATATGACCATAATAATTGACTTTCTTGGTGATACTAATCAGTCTGACAGATAAAAACTATTTGCTCGTCCTCCTTGGCCCGGCAGATCATAAGCACACTTTTAGCTGCATTATACATACTGTTGTGTTCTAGTCCACACTCAGAGCAGATATCTAGTAGCTGCTGTAGACCAGCGGTGCTCGGACTTAGAACCACTAAGTCATCTGCATACATCAGATGGTTTATGACACCACCACCAGCTACACAGCCAGTCCTGCAGGCCTTTAACCTCACTGATAACTCATCCATGTGCAGGTTAAAAGTAGAGGAGATAGAACACCTCTTTGTCATACACCATTACTGACCATAAACGGCTCTGAGATACTGTTACCCCATCTTACCTGTAACATTTGCTAACCTTACCAATAAACCAGGATGTGTACAACATATCTTGGGACACCTCTTTGCAGCAACTTCATGAATACTTTGCTATGGTTAACTATCAAATGCCTTGGATGCATCTATGAAGCACATAGAGACTGAGGACTTCTGGTTTCTTTATTTGGTCTCCATCTCCTTTAGAGTATATGTACACATTTGTACCAAGTATTTTCCTTTAGAGTATATGTACACATGTCTGTACCAAGCTCAGACTTAAAGACAAAATGATTATCTGTCATTGTTAATTCTGTCCAGCAGAAATCTTTCCAAGACTTGAGAGTATGCTAGCCGGAGCAATGGGCCTCTAGTTATCCATGCTACCATCTCTCCCAAACAGACTAGAAAAAAAATCAAAATTTCTGTTTTGAAGATTTTCTTCAATGATCCAAGTTGGTGTTCCAGTGATGGTCTGTCAAAAACTGATCAAACACTGCAGGAGTCATTTTAGGGCAGATAAAATCCTTCAGCTGGATGCAGCCTTTGTCACTGTTAACCATCACCTGCTACTGGGGAGGCTGAGAGACTGGGTAGGCCTATCAGGAACTGTTCTGGAGTGGTTCTCCTCTTATCTTTCTGAGCGTTCCTTTTCTGTGGCCGTCTCCAAGTTTAGGTTCTCCACCACCTTCCTTACCCATGGTGTCCCACAAGGTTCTGTGCTGGGGCATCTGCTCTTCCTCCTCTATCTGCTTCCTCTTCAGCACATCCTGAGCTCCTTCAAAGGAATCTCCTACCATCTTCATGCAGATGACATCCAACTGTACATCTCCTTTAAGCCCCATGAGATGTCTAAGCTGCAGCTGTTACACACCTGCTTAGACTCTATCAAAACCTGGATGGTGGGAGCTTTCTTCAGCTGAATGAAGATAAGACTGAGGCCTAGTCCACACGTAGCCGGGTTTTTTTAAACGAATATCCGCCCCTCCAAAAACTTGCATCCACACCACCGCGTTTAAAAAAAAAAACTGTCCACACGTACCTGGATAAATACGTTGTTAAGGACATGCCAGACCTGTAGGTGGCAGTACTTCCCCCGTTCTTAACCTCGTCCTTCGTCTGTGGTCTTCCGCAAGGAGCAGTAATTCCGCTTGCAAAAACAAACAAGCAGAAAGCGCTTGGACAATTGATAAAGCGAGCGCAGCTCTGAGGGCATCCATGCTGTCGGCTAGTGTAAACACAGGTCGCACACGTGATGTCAGCATTTTTTGTCGCGGAAAGTGACGCTGCGGACCTTAAAACTCCGGTTTTGTCTGTCCACACGCAGACACCCAAAACGGAGAAAACGCAGATCTTCACTTTGGCCGGAGTTTTTAAAAAGATCCGTTTTCGTGTGAAAAAACTCAGTTTTCGTGTGGATGACAGGCCAAAATGTAGAAAAATATCTACGTAAGATTCCATTCGTTCGTGAACGTCACATCACTATCCTACATGTGCTTATATATGTTTGTTTCTTCCACTATATCTAATATCACACACACTGACAGGGACCTCTAGGGACCACACATTGTAATAGATTCTGAACATGACTTTCCCAAATATAAAAATGTCTGTGTAAAATTATTTGTGCAAAAACAGATAAAAAAATCTAGCATAAAAACAGTTAGATATAAAGACCACAGACTGTTCTCATATACAGTATGTACAATAAATCAGAACAGACTTAAGCAGTCTAAGTACTCAGAAGCAGGAACACTGATCAGAAACTATTGATCACAGTGAATCATTTAAGGTAGATAATGGAATGTAGGTAGGGAGCTTCAGTGGTTTTTGCAGCTCATTCCAGTCGTTGGAAGTAGCAAACTGGAATGTGGAGATGCCAAAGGAGGTGCAAGCTGATACCAAATTACTGTTTTTATTAATGTACCAAGATCAACTAGATGTGGTGTGGGACTAGTGGATATTTACAAAGCTAATCTCAGGATTATGCATCTCCCCTTTACTCAGTCACAACGGCTCTTGTGTGTGTGGTGGACTATTGCCCTCTGAGGTACAACAAGGATTTTCTGTCTTGAGCTTTCAGAGTTTTAGGCTGACTTTTTTTGTTTGTGTTTTCAGTTGGTTAATGTGGCCACTCAAGTAGGTAGTCACAAATTGGACCTTGTTTTGTCACTCGGATGTTGCGTGTCTAACCTCTATGGGTGATGCTGTCTTTTCTGACCTTAAGCCAACATTATTTGAGACCATCCGTTTAGTAGTTTTTCAGCATCTGCTGTGCCTGATAGTTATAGTTGTCGTAATAACTTGGAAACCTCTGGTCACTTTTCCTTGTCATTTACTGAGGCTGCACCTTATTTGTGTGATTGGTCGTCTTTGGATGGGCTGCTTACTTTTAACAAGACCTGTAAGACTATTCGACAATATTGCACCTTTACAAGGCGGGTTAAGTGTGCTGGGACTATGGGCTCAACAGTGTGTGCTGCATGAAGAGACTGCAGATGCGAGAGAAAAGGAAAGAAGGATAAGCTTCATGTACTAGGGTTGCAGGGATTAACCAGTTTGACTTTCACCCGCGGTTAACCCCCATAAAAACATCTCTAACACGACCTATAAAAATCACATCTAATATAGCTGAAATATTCTAACATAGGAAATTTAAACCACTTAAATTGAGCAGTCCATCATGGTTGTCGTCACTGGTTCTGCTTCTGCTGCAAGCATGCGTTCAGTTTCACTTTTATTTTTGTTCCTGGGGGTCACGCTATTGTCTTTTTGTTTTTTATAGGCCGCGTTGGTTACGGGGGGTTAACTGCGGTTAACAGTCAAGCCGGTTAATCTCTGCAACCCTACATGTATCCTTAACTGCACTAAGGGAAAGCTGGAAATCTTATCAGTTTGCTGTTAAATCTACTAAGATTGCTTACTATGCCAACCTCATCTCTGAAAACGCCTCGAGTACTAAATGCATCACTGAACTCTGTGTTGAATGTGAAAGACTGCTCTTCTGCACAGGCATCATTCGCAATGTGCAATGACTGATTTTTGGGGGGACTAAGTTGCCATGTTGCGATCATCTCTGCCTGGTGTGTCTATGCTAAGTCCTTCTGTGTTGTTGAAAAGCTGCATTCCTTTAGGTGACCTAACCAAGCCTATAGGTCAGGCTGAACCCAGTAGTTCTCTGGAGGACATTGTACCTCCACATCTGCTCAAACAAGTTTTTTTTAGAAGTTGCCCCATTAGTATTGCATATTATCAACTTTAGTCTGGCTACTGGTTTGGTCCTGAACGATTTTAAAAAGGCAGTTATCCAGCCACTCTTTAAAAAGCTGGGCTGGATGATTTGCTGCCTGTTAATTATAGCAGGGATGCACATTTACCAACATTTCTTTACCAGCTATTGACGCCACTTAACGGTTACTTCAGTGTAGCAGGCTAAAGTCATTCAACCGTCAAAGGCTTTTGTGGCAAACATTATGCAACCTTATATTTGCTTTTGTTTACACTTCTTTATCATGTGTGAATAGCCCACTTATCTGCCATTCATTCTGTGTCCATCCACACACCGTTATCAAGCGATCAGCTGGTCCTTGTTGCTTCTTTGGCATTGCTGACCACAGGCACACCCAGCCACAGGAGAGCCTCACCAGGTCACAGATCACAGTCGAGTTTCACTGTTGGAGTCGTCCATCAGACCAGATGCAAGTTGTTCCTTTAAACAGATTTATTGTTGGCCTTTCATCGTTGATCTTTTCTCCGACCTTCCAAAGACCTCCTTCAAACCGTGAAACTGTGTACACAAGATTTACAATGAACTCAAAAGACAAAACGTGCATAAAACAAAGACAAATAAATACCTCGTTGGCTGAATGCTTTAGGAAGGAACTCTAAGCACCCCTTTAATCTTTTAACATGCTTTTTAGTCCTTTTGCAAGTCTTGTCTTTCTGCTTTGTCACTGAATTCTCCAGTCAGTTAGCCAGCACCTCATCCATGTTTCTTAGTTACACAGGTGGGTCACATCACTAATTAAGGCGTGGCTGGCTTGGAAGCACACTATGACTTTCAAAATAAAAGCATAACATAAACCTGCATGAATTTCTGAACACAGCCACAAGAAAAGAAACAGAAAAGAAATTAGAAATAAATATAACAGCAACTACAGTTACAGTTTTCTTACATTGAACTGAATAATTACACTGACATTTCTTTATTGTACATGCCCTGATTTTAACTTAGCTGCTGATGCCATAGCAGATAGTTTTAACAGGGCTGTCAACAGAACCGGAGACCAGCCAGTATTTCTTTTGGGAGACTTTAATAAATGTGACATCATAACATATTTACCTAATCTAGGGCAATATGTCACAACAGCCACAAGAGGGAGCAAGATACTAGACCAGTGTTATGGCAACATCCCAAATGCATACATCTCAAAGTCAAGTCCACCCAGTGGCGGCTGGTGAAAAATATTTTTGGTGGGGCTGTTCTATTTTTTTTTTTAAACAAACTTGTGCTTTCTGAACTTTGTGCACAACTTCACTATTTCCTGAATTAAGCACAGCTCTTTTATTTCCTGTCTTACATTATTGGACAAACTGATTAATCCAGGTGTGTCTGACTATTGGCACACTGCCTTGTGGATGAAGGTTGAAAAATACTGCATTAAATTGCACATAAAATAACACGACCATATATGGTCCACATCCACATTACTGTTTGTGAAACTAACATACTGGAGAATTTCATCACAATAATATTAAATAAACAAGTATGTACCTGATCTTTTGCATGCTGTTGGTGAAGCTCTGGATGACCCTTGTGATGGAGACAGAGTCAATGTTCCTCTTCTGCAGCTGGTTGAACAGCTTGTCCACATGTGGCATGATCTTGTGACACAATGCCAGCAGAAAGCCGAAATCTTCTTCCTCCAGCATTCTCACAAAGCCTCCTGCCTCTCTCTCAGTGACTGGATCAAAGTCATCCGAGTCTCTGATCATCTGGAAACATCTGAGGAGGTCATCCTTGTGCTCATACACTGTGTTGACATCTCTCTCTCTTGGACAAAATGTGCCGGTTCTGATCCACTTCTTCATTGTGTTTCTTCACTGCAAGCCTGTGTCCCTCGTCTCTAGCTGCATGGCAATGTTAGCTCTGCCTAGCATAGCTAGCTTCACCGTGTTGTTGTCCATGTGCGCCCGGGATAACTCGTGTTTCTTCAACTTCTCAGAAAAATGTTTCATGTCCGTAACTCCTGACTCAATCCATGCCTTATCTGTCCCAGTCCTTTTGAATAACAAACACAGAAAGCAAAATAACGCATTAGCGTGATTGCATCCAGCTAGCCAAGCCTTCCTGGTGTACCAATTTTGGGAGAAGCCTCGTGTGTACAGTTTACCTCTCTCCTTGTCCTGCTGGCTTATCTTTACGTCGGGCTGATCTGGTCCAAGCTCTTTGACATTAAGTTTTTCCACCATAGTTCTCCTCTCGAACGGATACTGGAGAAGAGACCGAACTGAATTGAGTGGCTGCTGAGATCCGGTATCCATGCTGGTTGTAGGCTCACTGGCGTCCATGTCTGCGTCTGCGTCACGACCAAAAACGTGCTGGAGTAGTCGAGACTCTGCCGAGTTCTACCGAACACCAACGAAAGCCTTTGGCGGTAGCTCTATCGCCCATCATGCTTCTGAAACAACAACAACGATGCTGATTGGATACATTCCCGTTCCTAACGTTTGATTTTCTTGTCAGCAATTGGCGGACTGCTTCAGTGCTGTTTGGGCGATTGAAACACAGCCTACAGCCTTTCTGTCGCCTCCACCGCTCGGCAGAGAGCTTCTCACCAATATAGATATTTATATATATGATTTGTTTTTGTTACAATACACACAATTAATTTAGAATATGTGATTTTTGTTAATTATATTTATTTATTTTTTAATAAAAATTAAAAACACTGGGGAAAACTGGGAGGGCGGGGCCCTATCGCCCTCTACTGGCCAGCCGCCACTGCGTCCACCTCTTGGTAGATCAGACCACAATTTTATCTTAATACTACCAAAAATACAGGTCACAACTGAAGACAGGGGAAGTGGTAGGGCTGCTCGATTATGGCAAAAATAATAATCACGATTATGGTGACTGAAATTGAGATCACGATTATTTAGGACGATTTTTCAATTTATGTTGATTTTATTTGTTTTTATTCAGTCATAAAACTGCTCAGGGCACAATCAGGACAAAAATAAGAATCAAGATGATCACTAAAATAACTCCTGATTCCCAGGATAAAAAGACCAATATACTTATAGCTCATGGTTTATAACCCAAGGGCTATAGACCTTGGTTTAACTCATTTAAGTCTAACCAGTACAGACCTAAATAGCAATATCTTGCAAATACTGACAGCAAGAATTATACAGTGGCATTTATAACAAATACATGCAAATAAATTGATGTTCACAAAATGTTGCATAACATTTATTGAGTCGTGTCAAGGTGCTGTAGGAGAGTGCACTAGCACCGTGTCCTCAGAGAGATTAGTTATTATTTATCAGCGTGAGGAACTTATTTCTACCTTATTTATAAACTATTTATTTACAGGTCCATCAGTTAATGTAATAATTGTCCCAACCACAGCTGCACCCCCCACCCTCCACCCCGGTCTCACAGCAATCGGGCAAGCTGCACGTGCGTTTAGCACGCCGCACGCGCACATTTAGCTGTTTTTAGCTGCTCAGGAGCCCGCAGGTACGGTGTGTGTCACTCACTCTGGTTAATCCAACAAGGAGCCGGCTCCGAGAGGTGTCTTTAGCGACCGACACATCACTGCATCATTCCCTTTCCTAATGTCCTGAAGAACGGTCCGGAGTGCAGGCGGCGTGTTTAGCTAACCTGCAGGAAATGTCGACGACCGTTATCCAGAAAGTAGCTAAGGGTTCCCAGAGATGTTTCTGAGATGTTCACTAGGTACTTTTATGATTAAAAAGTCAAGAAAAGGGTCTGAAAAGCTGCTAGAAATAGCGTCAAAGTCGCTAAGTTGGCAACACTGTGGAGGAGCGCTTCATTTGCAACTCAGGGCAGCGCAAGCGGGAGGAGCAAATAATCGGCTTGTTTTGTTTTTTATAATCGTTCAAAACTCAGATCGTAATCGTAATTAAAATTCGATTAATTGAGCAGCCCTAGGAAGTGGTAACAAAAACTATCCAAGTTTGGAATGAGGATTCGAGTGAAGCAGTAAAGGGCTGTTTTGAAATGACCGATTGGGACGTATTTTTTAATGACAGTGGAAACAATCTGAATACGTTGACAGATGTAATGACCTCATATATTCTCTTCTGCAAAGAAATAGTCACCACTACCAAGCAAATAAAAATACACCCAAACAATAAAAAGTGTCACAAAGGAACTTAAAATGTGCCTGGTGGAGAAGAAACGGGCCTTCCTTCAGAAGGACCATGAGCGTGTGACGGTGCTGGAGAAAGACTTTAAGAGGAAAGCCATCCTTGCAAAAAGTAAACAAACACAGAATGTGGAGCACCAACTCACATCTGGAAATGCTCGTAAGGCATGGCAGGGCCTGAACATCATGATGGGAAGAGACCATGAGACCTCGCATGTCAACTACAATGACTCCATCTCGTTGGCAGAACAGCTGAATGTATTTTTTGCCCACTTCAACGGTGTTCACCGTCTTTCCACCTGAGCCCCCCACCCACCCACCCACAGCCTCACTGAACCAGCGCTAACCATCAGCGAGGAGGAGGTCACCACCATCCTGCGCTGCATCAACCCATACAAGAGCTCTGGCCCTGATGGGCTCCGTGGCAGGGTTCTGAAAGAATGCTCCACCCAGCTAGGTGGGGTACTCACCAGACTCTTCCAGCTCCTTCTGGACTTTGGCTGCGTTCCAGAGCAATGGAAAGAGTCCGTGGTAATTCCGATCCCCAAGAAAGCTCATGCAAAAGAACTGGGGGATTTTAAACCTGCGGCCCTTACATCAGTTCTGTGCAAGTGCATGGAAAGGGTAGTGGGAGGACACTTGACAAAATTCATCTCAGACCAGCTGGATCCCGTACAATCTGCTTACAAGGCAAGACGTGGTGTAATGGATGCAAGTCTCACTCTTCTAAATGCTGTCACTAAACACATGGACTCTACACAACCATACACAAGAATCTTATTCATGGATTTTTCTTCTGCATTAATACAGTAGACACCAGCATGTTGCTGGAACAGCTTTCAGATCTCCATCTCCACACAACGCTGCTTTTATGGACCCACAACTTTTGGAAAGACAGGCCACAACAAGTGTTTTTAAGAGGATTTAAATCCACGAAAAGTGTCATTAGCATTGGACTGCCACAAGGCTGTGTTTTGTCTCCAGTGCTTTTCTCAGTCTACACAAACAACATCCGGTGCCATAGTGAGAGAATGGCCCTGTATAAGTATGCAGATGACATGGCACTGGTGGCATCAGTGAAGACATTGGAGGACCTGTCTAAATATCAGCAGGCGGTCAGCAATCTGGTCCAGACATTTGGAGACTTTCACCTGGGGCTGACTATCTCAAAAACTAAAGAAATGTGCTGTGGGGCAGTCAGCGAGGCAGACACACCCCTGTTCAAACCCCTCAGCATACAGGGTCAGCCTGTGGAGCAGGTTCAGTCATTCCGCTATCTGGGAACAGAAAGTGATGACCACCTGTCCTTTGCAAATCACAGCAACGATGTCTACAAGAAAGCGCTGCAAAGACTCCACCTGCTAACCCCAAAATTCCACTATCTCCACTCCGCCCCCGCTTTCCGCTGCCGCTCGCTTCCGAACTCAAATTATACTATGCCCGCTCTACAACGGCTCTGCTCCGGTGCGGAGACCTGAGGTGCGCAAACAGGCATGCGCGGGATTTTCGAGATTTTGCGATACAGTCCGAGCAATAAACGCGGAAATTAGATCCAAACACCCGTTGTGTGGGAGAAGCATCGACATGAACTGTTTAATCTGCCATCATGTGTGTAGAGAGATCAGCAGTGTTTGGATCAACAAAGTGTGACTACTTTGATAGTGGAAACTGTATTTATGGCATATTTTTGTGCATTTAAAGTTCAGCCGCCATTGATAGTTGTTAAAAGTTGTTAAACCTGTGCATATGAAACAAAAAACGCTTTTTGTTTATCGATTTATTGTGAAATAACGGAAGTTATGCTTGCTCCCTTTCCTGTTGGGCAGTTGTGATTTCTGTCCATTGACTGCGGAGGTGCTCCGGCGTCCGGCAAAAATAGAATCGATCCTGTTTCTGCCGGATGGCGGAACGGCGGGCGGAGCACTGCGCCGCACGGCTGCAGTAGTGGAACAGCTCTGATTGACTACAACGGGACCGATTTTGCTGCGGAGTTCGTGCCGGAGCGGAGCGGAGATAGTGGATTTTTGGGGTAAGGAAGCTAAGAGCACTCAATGTGAACAAGGACATCCTAATAATTGTATATAAATCACTGATTGAATCCATTCTAACTTTCAGTATTACAGCTTGATATAACTTTCTTACAGTTAAAAACAAAACAACTCTCTCGCATTGTTAAATTAGGCAGCAGAATTACAGGTTCACCTCAGATCCCACTTCCTGTTCTTCACAAGCGAGCAGCGCACAGGAAGGCTACCCTGATCAGTGCAGACCAAGCCCCCACAATGCGGCTCAAAAATTGAGGCCAACCCGTAAGTACCACAAATTGCAGTTCCACCCTCATCCACTAGGGGCTGGTGTCAGAAGCGAACAAATCCTCATTGACTCCCATGTTAAAAATACCAATTTCACAGCAGAAATAAACATGTTTACAGCCTGGTACCAGAACATGTTTTTGGTTTAAATGATCTAGTTTACACTCATGACAACTCTGAGGGGGGTGAATGTTTTTCTCACTCTTCTGTTTAAGTGCATTAAAAGCCTAAAATTCTGTATAATTAATGAGCATCAGACCCACGTGACCACAGAGCTAGCTCCGTGGAAAGGCCTCAGTAGAGCCTCGGTCTGGCCTGGAAACTGCTCCGGGATTATGAGTCTCTGTGTGTGTGTATTCTTGTTTGGATATTACAGGTGCTGGCCAGTAAATTAGAATATCATCAAAAGGTTGAAAATATTTCAGTAATTCCATTCAAAACGTGAAACTTGTACATTATATTCATGCAATGCACACAGACCAATGTATTTCCGATGTTTATTACGTTTAATTTTGATATTTATAGGTGACAACCAATGAAAACATCAAATCTGGTATCTCAGAAAATTAGAATATTCTAAAGGCCAATGAAAAAATGTTTGTTTCTCTAATGTTGGCCAACTGAAAAGAATGAACATGAAAAGAATGTGCATGTATAGCACTCAATACTTAGTCGGGGCTCCTTTTGCCTCAATAACTGCAGTAATGCGGCGTGGCATGGACTCGATCAGTCTGTGGCACTGCTCAGGTGTTATGAGAGCCCAGGTTGCTCTGATAGTCGTCTTCAGCTCCTCTGCATTGTTGGGTCTAGCGTATTGCATCCTCCGCTTCACAATACCCCATAGATTTTCTATGGGGTTAAGGTCAGGCGAGTTTGCTGGCCAATCAAGGACAGGGATACCATGGTCCTTGAACCAGGTGCTGGTGGTTTTGGCACTGTGTGCAGGTGCCAAGTCCTGTTGAAAGGTGAAGT